CTTTCCCTGTCACCCCCTGGTTTTTCTTCCATTGTTTTTATCCGTTATGTGACCAATGTAATTTATCCGAGTCCCGCTTTCCCTTGCAATATCTCTTCGCAGGACTTTGATGGCCAGGGGCTGTGATAAAACATAAGTTTCGCGATTATGTCAGTCTACCTACGTGACATATTTTCATGCGAATGACAATGGCCTGGAGGTGTATTTACTTTCATTGCATTAACGGTCATCGAGCCTATTTTTACCCAATTTTTACCTTCTCGATTGATTATATGCGTTATAATTGTTACATCCTTGTACCTCGGTTTATGAAAAATATCCATAAATTTGGGAATATCATAATGATAATAGGTAAACAAACTAGAACCATATTACAAAGAATCAATTGTTTTTATTATAGAAAAAGCAACCAATCACAAAAGTACTACCGAGGACTGGGCTTTGATTATGGAAATATGCGACAAGTTGGGTCGTTCGCCACAATTTTCTAAGCACTATCTTCGTTCGATCGTGAAGAGGCTAAATGCTCAGGATCCGCATATTGTGATACTTGCCATAACAGTGAGCAAACTCTTTAATCGTATTCATTGACATTTCCTAACGTTCGGAGAGTACTTAAAACTAGATAAATTAATTAAAGACTTATGTTAATTCAGTATTGCATCATATGTGGTAAAACATTTCTTATTTATAATCAAATTATCCGTACGATCCTCTGGCATTTAAGAATATTTTCTTAACGTTAAACAAAATTTAGAATTTATATTTTGTCGCCTTACCGACGTTTTGTATTATTTATTTATTAAACACAAGAATGTAAATGTTAAGTTGTCAGTTGCTTTAATGAAGGCAAACGCGATACAAGAAAAATTTACAATTACTTAATGCAATGAATTGTATTTGCAGTTATTGGATGCTTGCTCCAGTAATTGCGGTAAGCCATTTCATTTGGAAATTGCATCTAGAGAATTTGAGGGTCAATTTATAAAATTGATACAGAATAATCGTACTCAGCCAAAAATTTATGAAAAATTAAAGGCATTGCTAAAGAAATGGGCGGAAGGTGATTTTAAAACAGATCCTCAACTCAATTTGATTCCAAGTTTGTATCAGAAGTTGAAATTAGAAGGTCATGATTTTTCAGCTATAATCGATATGGTAAGAATAATAGATATTATGTTTAATCGAAGAAATAATACATAGATTTGCCAATATTTTTAGTTTAATAAATATAAAAATAAAAAAGGCGAGCACTTTAATTTACGCGGACCAATTAATCGACGCACTTGTATTAAATATTTTTTAAAAGTTTCAACAAAATGATTCTTTAAAACTTACTGAAATTTTTATACTTATTTTCACAATGATCATAAAATAAAATATATATATCCTGCAAATTTTGTTACACCAATTGAGTAATTTTCTTATAAATGTTAAAATGTAATGTTAAGGTCCTTAAGATTTTTAATACACAAGGTACATAATTCTGCCAACCGAAGCAATATACCAAGAATAATGTGCAAAGACATAATTATTAGTCCAGCACGATAATAATCGGTCATTTTATTATTCTTCATTTGACATGTCATTTTCATTAATTTCATTATATATTTCATTTAATCATAGCCAAGGCCAAATTACGTGCTTAGTAAAGACCCAAATGTAGTCACAAGTGCTCAAGAAGAAGAGGAAATAGCTAAAGGTAATATATTTATTAACAAAATTCTTAACTACGTTGTTCATAGTGAGAACGATTACTTTTATCTTGTCAATCTAGCTATTGAATTATCATTAAAAGAAAATACTAAACATTCGACGACCTCGCATAATACACCACCTATGAAGAAGTCACCTAGTATATATCCAAATGTAAATTCAACATTAGTCGGTACCGCTAATTCAGAAGGAAGGAAAGTGAAAGCTCTTTATGATTTTGAAGCAGTAGAGGATAATGAATTGACGTTCTCAGCAGGGGAAATCAGTAAGCAATTACAGTGGGAAAGCTAAATTTGATTAATAGCCGTAATATATTGGATTAATTATTTTTATATCCAAATTTCAGTTAATATTTTAGATGATTCCGATCCTAATTGGTGGAAAGGCAGCAACCATCGAGGCGAAGGCCTATTCCCTTCTAATTTTGTAACGGCTGATTTGTCCGTTGAATTGGAACAATTTACAAGTACTAATTTTAACATATTTCCTAAGCAACGAAATATAAAATATCATTGATAAAAAAATTTTATTCTTAAAATAATTAATTTATAGAATTAGAAAGTAACAATAAAAAATCTGTTCAATTTACGGAAGAAGTTGAAGTGAAAACTGTAAAAAGAGAACCCGAAGTCGTCGAGATAGAAATTGATGAACAAAAAATGGATAGACTATTGCATTTATTGCATGAAGCTGATCCTCAATCCGATAGTTCCGATCCACAAGAGATGCTTGATTTAGAAGGTAATCGGGTCTTTTAGTTTCCAGAGAATTTACGGATAGTGACTAGAAAAATCATTCGTACTTTTGTATCACAATAGAGCACGTCACTGCAATGGGGCCATTAATAGACACAGCACTCGAGAAGGTAGACAAGCAGCATGCCAAGCTTACTCAATTAAGTTCCGATTTAGTAGACGCAATGAATCTATATCACATGCTAATGCGCGAACCCGCCATATCAAGCTACACACATCCGAAAATGCCTCCTCAGCAAATGGTTTATCAGTATCCTCATCCACAAGGAGCATCCCATTCACAAACGGGGGGACATCCTCAAGCGGGACATCCCCAACAGGGACATCTGCAAGGCGGACATCCACAAGGAGGTCATTCCCAAATAGGACATCCTCAAGCAGTACCCTCGCAATCAGGACTTCCTCAAGGAGCACCGCCTCATGTGAGCTTCTCAAATTTACTGCCAAATAATGAATAAAAGACAAAACTTCTTTGTCTAAAATAATTAAGAATAGTACTTTTTTAATATACATTACAATTTATTTAGTTGACATATTTACAGTTTATTTGGTTTCTGGTAATACATATGATTGCACTGATTATTCGATATCAAACTCTATTGCTCTTATGGAAATATGAAAATGGAAAGACAATTTTTCATAATTATTATACCAAGCACTCACTGCCATTAATAATATATAAAATATTTTAAGATACACAAAACTTAGCAATTATATTGGCTAAAAAGACTATATTTATTAACATATGTATAATTGATATCTTATGAAATTTTCAGGATGCATATTTCATTAAATTTAACACAACATTAACACGAACATTTTAATTATCTATTGACTTAGATTTTTAATGGTTTACCATCTGGACCTCAGTCGCAAACTCTTCCTGGCACGCAACCAAGATTTAACACGAATATACCGCCAACCGGCGATTTAATTACCACCCAACAGGGACCAACAAGTTTACCTACCATGACATTACCTCATCATTTCCATATGCCACCAGGACTTCGACAAATACCTTCTGAGGTACGGCAAGAGTCTCAGCAATCGAATCAAAACAACATTCCCTATACGCAAGGGTAATTATAATAATATTCTAAGTATTATATATTCTATATGTATCGATCATTTGGGTTATGAAAATATTGTATTTCAAATAATTGATTATGCTCGAACCATAATTTTAAAACCATATAAATATATATTTATTCAATGGTACTTTGTTTAATAAAAGGATGTAAGCAGCCAATTCTTACGAATGAATCATTAATTTTTCATTTCCCTATTCTAATTATATAATTATCCAAATAAATGTTTGTTACATAGTAAAATAGTCTAATTTATCAATGTATTACAATAGATTCCCAGTGCAGAGTAGCTCCGTCGGGCCAGCACCCTTCGTGTCGCAAGTGCCACCTGACCAGCAAATCAACAACCAACAGTCACAATTTGCATCGCCTAATGGCCAACGAATGATGTAGGAAAATAAAGAAAATAACAGGAATAATAAAAATGAACGAATGAGAAAAAGAATCACTTTGTACTCTAAACTTCAATTGTACAATATTACTATGTTATAAAGTTATTTAAATAATAAACGTAAAAGAAATACGCAGCAGCCAAAGATCATGGATTTTTGATGGAGACTGTGCGACGGTTATCGGCAGAAAATAATATATATATGCATATGCATACACACATGTACACATGCATATATGCATATATACGCACACGCACGCATACACAAACATGCATATGAAACGTTGAAATAAATGCCTTTGCACGACGCGTTCCGCTCTTGTACAGGAGCATTTCCTTTCTCAGCGCTTAAAGATAACTAGATAGATAGAATAATGAAGAAAGAGAGAGAGAGAGAGAGAGAGAGAGAGAGAGCAGAGAGCAGAGAGAGAGAGAAGTAAAGGAGAAAATTAACAAAAGAAAAAGAGAGAGGTAAAGAATGATTTGAGTGAAAGAGTGATGGAAGAGAGTAATAATACTCGTATCGATCCGTCATTATTTTAAGCCGAATATCAAAAACAAAAACAAAAACAAAAAAAAAAACAAAAAAAAAAAACAAAAAAATAAATAAATAAATGGAGCTAGCTAATGCACGTGAATTCCCACATATTTTTAGTTTGTCTGTTAAGTTAAAACAATTGGAATAAAATCCGTTTTATAATCTTCTATTTTATAAAATTTACTTGGTTATAATATTAAGTGTTGCATATACATAACGAACAAACGACAGATCATTAGAAATTACGATATAAACTAATATTAAAAAGCAATGGTAATGTGAAATGGAATGTCGCGTGGCCTTTGTAATTTGAATTTGAGTTAAAAAGAATTATTTTAATTACGCGAATTATCTATTTACTAAAACATCGTGCCGTCAAATTAATGGAATACAATACCGGTGACGTTGGAACGAATTTCAATAAATAAGTATAATAAGACTTTTCTAGTTTTTTACTATCAATGAATAAACAAGTACATAGTGAATCTTGTCAGACTTATCCTAATAAATATAATTTTTAACTTATCAGATTTGCCCTAATAAACTAAACAAATTAAACTAAACAAATTAAACTAAACAAAACAAAAAATAAAAAAAAAAAAAAAACAAGAAAAAAGAAAAAGAAGAGAGAAAGAAAGAAAACATTTTAGAATGAAAGCCTCGTCTGCGATAGATGTAAATAATTTTAATTTCAAATTCATACGCTAAAATAATAAGAGCAAGTGCTTAAAACAAGGAGAAAAAAAACGATGTCTAATTGATAGTTTTTGTATTTACATTATTCTAAAACGAAACAAGACAGGACATATTATATAATGCACATATAATCTATTAAGTGCAAGTCTACTACATTGATATGAGATTGAATTTGGATGGAAATATGATTTTACATAATCAAATTTATGTGATGAAATTTTATTGATTCGATAGATTTAAAAAATGGTTTGCATGTTTCTTTAATTTTATTTTTATACTGGTTCCAAAATATACATGATTTTCGAGATGATTGATAGATAGATAGATAGAGAGAGAAAGAGAGAGAGAGAGAGAGAGAGAGAGAGAGCTGCAGGTACAGCGTCGATTTGGCTGACGCGACAGTTTGTTGAATGTAACATTAAACGTAGATTATTTCACGAATAATTTTCCTTATACATAATTTACAATTATTATGAAAGAAATAATGGAAAAAATTTAAGAATTTAACGGTCGCACCGCATTTTATACCGGAGAAATGACATGCAGAGTTTGAAAAGGGGGAATGAAAGTAATCGGAGAGAAAGTATACGAATGAATGAAGGAACTCTGTTTACAGAACGAAAACAAATGTCATAATTAGTTGTAAATGTTATGTTGTCATTAAACTTTTATTATTTACGTATAATAATAATAATATTTCATTATTTTAAACCAATAATTATGTTAAAAATCAATTAAATTTTCTGTATATTATTTCATTATATTGTGAAATTAAATTTTTTTTTTTTTTTTTTACTTAATTGATAATTTGACACTGTTTGAGCAGTATTAAAAAAAAGTATTGATAATTTGTATGTACATTAATACAATAGTTATATTTTTCTTTTTTTAATTTTCAGTATTTTGGCTTTAAAATAAATTATTTTAAATACATCATCTGTATTTTACTTATTGCAAAAAAAGAAAAAGAAAAAGTTTTTAAATTTTATGAAAGATAGAAAATAGTTTATAAATATAAATACTATAAATATATATATAAATATATAAATATATAAATAACTATTACAATTTTAGTTTCAAAAAGGAAACTTGCTATCTATTAATATAAAAAAAGTTTCAATTTATTTGCATTTATATGCATTTATGGAACGTATATATATATATATATATATATATATATATATATATGTATATGTATATGTATATGTATGTAAAAATGAACAATGTGCTTAATGATCATAAATGACAAGGTATAAATTTGCAATTATTAATTAATTAGCAATTGTAATATATGACGAAACTACATAATTAATTTGTTATATGCCATTTGTTCAAAAACTTGTTGAAAAATATATTCTTTTAAGAGGGTGACTATTAATTTCATTTAATAACGTTGTGACTAATGGCAAATAATGTTCTGCATTCTTTTATCATTCTTTGGCAGTTTAATTGCCGGCTATTAGTTGCAATTGTCGTTAACGGTGAAAGATGGATAAAAAAAAAAAAAAAAAAAAGAGAGGCAACGAAGAAACTCTTATAATCTTACCATCTTCGTATTTTCATATTGCCAGTACTTGGGAGGAAGATAAGCCACTTTTACGTGGCTACTAACTGGCTCAAGGTATTCCCCTCATTTGTCGCCCATAAGCGAATTATTTCGACTCGAGATTCTTCTTCGATTTGACTCTACGTAGATTTTATATGCTTGTACTTATTTTTAATTATTTTACGCAACGGCGATTGCGCGATCAGTTCTCTTAATTAATTTATTGCTCGTTGCGATTTCTCAAACGAATCATATCGTAAGACAACCGAGACAAGGACCTTAATGTATTAATATAATCAGCGATAAGAAAACGATAAATTGTTGGACTTTTTAATATGAATTATTATAAAGTCATTAGAATAAACGTGCTTTTGTAATTGTAAAATACTTTTCTATTAAATTCATTCGTATGGGATTTTATTTTACTTTTTTTCTTTTTTTTTTTTTTTAAGTTTTACGCGTACTTGTTCGTTAAAATGACATTTTACGTTTAATTGGCAGGTCAAGTGGCGGTAGTGATAAATCTGACTTCTTCGTCGATTCTTTCCTCGACCCACACCACTCTCCTCTGCGTTCCCTTGATTGTTCATTCTCGATTCATCCATCATCGATAGCCATTGATAATTTCTTAATATAATAAGCTTTGCTTACGTTACGTTAAGGTAGTCTGCCATTAATGTCCCTTTATACTAATAATCGTATTAACTATCGCGAGTACACTGTTTAATAATGACGTTGGCTTTCGTTTCTCCTTCGTTTCTCCTTCGTTTTCTTACATTCGTGTATTTGTTCGTTTCGCCCCGATGTTCGCCGATGTTCCATCGACGCGTTATTTATTAATTCGTAAATCTCCCGTCCCTTGGTCGTATTTATTACACACAATTTCGCTCACGACACACGCATTACCGGATAAAAGTTGATACCGCTCAGTTCTTTCTATTACGTTACCTCCCATATCCAGAACAATGCTATCTTATCGTCTTTGGCCGTTAAGCGCGGTGAGATGACGATAATTTTTAATCCACTTTGAGAATTGGCATTATACGAGCTATCTTATGAATTTGCTCGAAATATATTTTTCGTTATTGTCCGTAAGTACAAGTGAGTGAAAATTAATTCCCCGCGATTCCATAATAATTTATATCAAGTTTTTATACATCGGTACGTTGGTAAATATGTGGGAGTTGTACGTAACTGGGAGTGCAAACTTATAATATTCCTTAGATATATATATATATATATATATACAGAGAGAGAGAGAGAGAGAGAGAGAGAGAGAGAGAGAGAGAGATATGTAGAGTGGTATCCGATAAAATCTTACGTTTATAATATATTTAATAAGTGTCAATATTATCGCATATTTAAAGATTCCAGTGAAAATGTATCAATTACCTAAAACTTATATTAATGCTCCTTATTTCATAAAATTCCCTCTATATTTATCATTAATGGTTTATTCCATGTCGCGCTGACTATCTAAATTATGAAGGGAATACCTTGAATTTTTTTTTACCTTTTCAGCAATGGAACGAGATGATGTTAAAAATCAGATGCGTCAGAGGCAAAAGAAAAAAAAGAAAAGAAAAAAAAAAAAAGAAAAAAAGAGCGATACTTAGTATGGTGATGTAGGTATTGATAAAAGATGAGTCGCTCCGAGAGGAATGGATGGCATTAGTCAGATTTATAAACATGCGGCGCTATGTTGGATCGTAAGATCGTAAGACTGACGGCGTGTTTTCGTGATAACAATTTTGTATCCCGTCTTGTCGACACTGATTGTTATAGATAACAGAGGTGATTTTGAATTGTTAGGTTATTGTATATCACGAGTTTAGCAGAGAGTTAAAACGACATATTATGCATTTCGCTTCTCATTATAAATGCAATTCGTTTATTTTAATAATCGGTCGTAGGGATCGTAAAATATTACGGACGATGAAATTCTCACTAAAAAATTTCTCACAATTCAAAATATTTTGAATAATTTTCTTCTTTTGCAAGACATAGTTCTTATTTCTAACCCTCGAGTATATAATATTATTGAGTTGAGAGTGACGTAGCTATTATACGTAACTATACGCGCCTAAATGTATGTACAATGTGTGCGTGTGTGCGTGTGTGTGCGTGTGTGTGCGTGTGTGCGTGTGTGTGCGTGTGTGCGTGTGCGTGTTAGTAAGGAGGCTCGGATAAACGCGATCAATTTATGCATTTTATCATTGGAATTTGATTTTCGAGCGATTCTTATGGTTGTCCATCGTCTCGTCTTTCAATGAAAATGCATGTATGAAAAAAAATTTCTTTTTTCAATACGGCTATCTAAAGGGAGAGTAGCACTTTTCCTAATGATTGCAACGGATAAATTGATAAATTGACTATTAAATTGTATCGTTTCGTTTAATCGTTAAGCGAAGAGCGCAATATATCTCTCGAAGAGATTTTTATCTACTAGAGCGAATCAATAATGAGTTTTATTATTAATTGGTAAGATTGATTAATGATGTGTAATGGCTGGTAATAAGGTATTATTTAATCATTTTGACCCAATCGAGTCATTATCATAACATTATAATAAATTTGAGCATAATAAGGAATGAACGAAGGCAATTTTTAAATGATAT